CTCTTTTCCTATTAGCCACTGGCTCCGTCTGTAAAATACACAGCAGCTAAGCAGTAAATGGAACCATTCTGCCGTTGCCACTCCTGTCTCGTTCCCCCCCCCCCCCCCCCCCCCCCCCCGCCTGTCTCACTGAAAGCATCATTTTCCTCCAGCACCCTCCAGTGCCCGGGGCGCTTCCTTCCGAGAGGGAAGCGGCGCCCCCCCAGGGAAGACCCCCTCCCGGTCCCATCACGACTTCCCAGGCGCCCGTGAGGCTCGGCTCCCCTAGTGGGCAGCTGACACCCGCCACGCCCACACACAACACAAATGTAGTCACACGCTGCTCACTCTGGAACCAGACTCGTAAGCTGTAAAATGGAAGTGAAAAATGCTCACCTCGTGCAGTGGGGGGGGATGAAATGAGAGCCACAGCATGTGCTACCAAATAATCACCCCACCCCGCATCCTTCCTGAACCACCGCCTCTCCCCTCCAAGCGAAGGGCTGGCCCGAGGCCTCCAGAGACGCGCAGCCTGCCTGACGCCGGCAGGACAACCCACCCGCGCCTGGCGGCAAACATGCCGACGCGGCCCAACGAACCCCACCTCCCCAGGCCTGCCGGCTGGTCATGAACCTCTGCCTCGCGCTAGGCCTCGTGGAAACCCAGCTCCTGCCCCGGCTCTCTGCACAGCCCCCACGCCCGCGGGAAGGCGGTGCCCCGCGCTGTTCTATCTCAATAAACAGCCCTCACCTGTGGAAGATGGCGTCTGGCGTGGCCTTCCTTTCTTCTCCATTTTCCTAACACTTCCTGCCTACCTCTCCTCGACCTAGTCCACTGGCCTCCACTGCGAGGGGTGTTTTCAGGAACGGAGGTGTGCAGTGTGTGTTTCTGGAATGTGAATCCCACTTACTCTCTACACTTCCAGTCCACAGCTGTCTGAAGACTGAAAGGCAGAGCACCAATTCCCTGCAGTCAGTGTCTGTGAGCTGCGAAGGGATGCGGGCTGACGGCCCACGATGGCAGAGGGAACGCAAACCGGGAGACACGGATGCCAAGCTGCCCTTAAGATGTCAGAATCAGCTGGGCGCCAGTGGCTCACGCCTTTAAGCCTAGCTACTCAGGAGGCTGAGATCTGAGGACTGGGGTTCAAAGCCAGCGTAGGCAAGAAAGTCTATGAGACTCTTGCCTCCAATGAACCACCAAAAAATGCCCGAAGTGGAGGTGTGGCTCAAGTAGTAGAGTACCCAGCCTTGAGCACAAAAGCTCAGAACAGCGCCCAGGCCCTGAGTTCGAGCCCTAGGACTGGCACACACATGCACGTGTGCGCGCGCACACACACACACTTCAGAATTAACCAGGCCTCCGGCTCCTAGCAGATCTAACCCAGCTTCTGGCCTTGACCTCATCTCAACAGACTCCCTGGTGGCTGGGCATCGTGTGGAATGAGGCCAGCAGGCGGTGAAGAGAGACAGCGCATCAGTCCAGCTCTCTGCTGTCAAGACAAAATCTGACCTGAGAAGCACAAATTAAAATCAGAAAGGCTTGTTTGGTCCTGGTCTCAGAGGTTTCAGCCCGCGGTGCGGTGGTGAGACAGAACGTCACAGCAGAGGAACTGGTAGGGCAGAGCACCCACTTGGTGCTATCCAGGGAAGAAAGGACGGGGAAGGCCAGCTCCCCAATCGCTTTAGGGGCACAAGCAATGATCTACTTTCTCCAACCAGGACCCGCCTCCTAAACCGTCTACACCGCCCAACAGCGCCATCTGCCGGGGAGAAGCCTTCAACACAGGAGCTTGGGGGGATCCTTTAAGGCCAAGGGCCCCAACAGAGCAGGGCGGAGTGGGTCCCCTGCTTTGCCAATCCCCACTATGTCACTGAAGCCCCAAAGGTTTGCAGTGGGGATGATAAACCACACGAACTGCAGGCAGAGCCTGGCAGCCCAGTCCTGACCAAGCCTGTCAGGGTCAGAGAGGAAGGGCTGGGAAGTCTGCTGGTCTTTCTCACCATGGAAGCCTGGAGAGACGGACTGGAGGCCTGGCAGGGAGGCCTGCCCCTGCCCCTGGCCCGCCTCTCAGCACAGCACAGCCACCCCCTACCAGCCAGGAGGACTGCAGAGGCAGACACTGACCTTATAGCTAAACGAAAGGTTCTGGGACACACATTCCTTGTTGGTGGCCCCTGGTCCCCAAATTGTGGCCTCTTAAACAGCTCAAAGCCCAGGGACAGGCCACAGACAGAGCCCTGAGGCATCTTCCACGTCTTGATGAATGCTATCCCTCCGATGCCCTCTGTAGATCGAGAAGTCCATCTCTAGGCTGAATGCTGTGAGCCAGACGCCAGTGGCTCACACCTGTAATCTCCACTGGTGCCCCACTGTCAGGCCAGCTACTCAGGAGGCTGAGATCTGAGGATCAGGGTTTGAAGCCAGCCCAGGCAGGAAAGTCCATGAGACTCTTATCTCCAATTAACTGGCAAAAAGCTGAACGTGGGGCTGTGACTCATGTGGCAGAGTGTCAAAAAAGCTGAGACAGAGCTCTGGCCCCGAGTTCGAGCCCAGTAACCACCCCCACCAGGAGCGTGTGCATCTCAGGCAGAGAGGCAGTGCCCCTGCAGTGTGGATGAGTTCAAGGCGAGGCAAAGCCCGGGGCTCCTGTGATTGTAAAGGCCTTGGGTTCAAACCCCCCAGAGGTCTGGCCGGGACGCAGGGCGGGCTGGGGGAGGTGGCAGCCCCTCCAGTCAAGCCAGGGTTTGAAGGCTGGGGCTCGGCGGGCCCCACCCCAGGACCCTTGCCCTGCTCCCCACCTCCCGCCCCACTCTGCTTGCTCTCCACCTGCCATGTTGCACACATGGCCCCCAGAGCTCAGGCGGGGATTTGGGGTTCCCTGTGACGGCTGAGAGGTGGCCCACAGACAGCGCACCTCCACACCCCCACTGTGGGGTGACCAGGGACCCCTGCCACATCCTGGCATCGGAACCTGGACTCCGCAGCCTCCAGGCTACGAGATCAATCATGCCGGAGAAAACAGGGCCCCACACACCCTGCCGCCGTCCCTGCACCCCAACGCCATCCCCACGCCCTGCTGCCGTCCCCACGCCCCGGCCCCCGCATACGCCCTGCTGCCACCACATCCATAAACCTGGCCCTACACAGGACAGCACCCACTCCCTCCTCCACCAAGGACTTCCGGAGCTCACACACACCAATCACACTTGTGAGCGCCTCTCCGGTGGCTCCCCTCTGGATTGGGACCACTGAGCATGCGCGTGCACACACACGTCTACATAGGGTTTTTTTGGTTGTTGTTTTTTGAAAAATAACCATCTTCACCAGGTGCGGGTGGCTCACGCCTATAATCCTAACTACTCAGAAGGCTGAGGTCTGAGGATCACGGTTCAAAGCCAGCCCAGGCAGGAAAGTCCATGAGACTCTTTTTTTGGGGGGGAGGGGTCCAGTCGTGGGACCTGAACTCTGGGCCTGGGCACTGTCCCTCAGCTCTTCAGCTCAAGACTAGCGCTCTACCACTTGAGCCACTTCCGGCTTTTTTCTTTTTGCTTATGTGGTGCTGAAGAATCAAACCCAGGGCCTCATGCATGCAAGGCAAGTGCTCTACCACTGAGCCACCTTCCCAGCCCCCGATCTCCAGTGAACCACCCAAAGCAGTGGCCAAGCGGTAGAGCACCACCCTTGAGCAGGAGAGCTAAGCGAGAGTGAGCATCCTGGACAAGCGTGGGCACTGGCGCGAGTAGGTAGTCACTCTGGAGAAAAGCTGGGGTATGGAAGTGGGCAGGGCATTCTGTCCCCCGCCTGTTGGGAATAGACGTCCACCCTGGCAACTCTCCGTCTCCCCACACCAAGGAGACCACGCCAGAGCCACACCAGCCAAGCCTGGAGACAGGACAGGCCGCAGGTCAAGGCCTCCTGCCCCGGTGGTGGTGGGACACACCTCTCCTTGGGAGAGAGGACGAAGGTCAGGCCTGTCGTAGCCCATGGCCCCGGACAGGGCTCTTCCCGCTCAGAGGGGCAGCCAGGGAAGGCTGCCTGCCCCGGGGCCTCGGAAGGCAGCCCCTCTCTGGCTGGCTCAGCTCTCCTCACCTCCCCCTGCTGGGGGGTCCTGCTGGGGCTGCACTCCGTGGCCCCAGATTCCCACACAGCGGCCACAGGGTCTGCTCTAAGGACAGGGATTCTGGCCCAGCCCTGATCAGTAGGACATCTTTAAGGCACCCAGATTGTATGGCCAGTCCTGTCTTCTCTCCTGATCTGCCCACTGGCTTCTGCACCTGGGACCAGCTCACCCTGCTCTCCACCTGCCGTCTCCCACTGTCCCGCCCCACGCCCACGCTTCTGCATGGCTGCGCTTCTGGGTGTCCCAGCCCAACAGCCCCAGCCTCCTCCTCCAGCCCCCTCCCACCTCTCAGCGTTACTCCTCCTAACGTTTCCTTGCTTATGGTCTACGCTGCGTCTCGCGACAGGGGCTCGGTGTGTGCTCACTTCGAGAGCACACCTACAAGCGTGCTGCAGTCTCACCCGCACTTGGCAGGGAGGGCTGAGTGGGAGAAGCAGTCTTCAACCCCCCTCAAGCAGAGTGGGGGGGGTAGGGGTGGGGGGGTCTTCCCTGGCTGCCTGCCTGACGCCAGCAGGGAAAATGACGGGCGAGCCATGTCCAAGTTAGCAAGCAGTTCTAGAAGAGGCAACTACAAGCTGCGTTGGCTGGACCCATCAACCTGCCAAAAGCAGGGCGGAAGCTGGGCCCCATGCCCCGCCCCCACGGGCAC